GCTGGGATACTTCTGCGCGGGCGCGGACGCGCCCGTCAAGGGCACCAGCCGATGCGACCGCCTCGACGCGCGGACGCGCCGGGCGGTCTTGCTGCAGCTGGCTCTGCCGAAGCCAGGCGGCTTGGTGACACGAGTGTATAAGGCTCGTACCTCCCCAGCCTAGGCCTTGATTGGGCCTCGGCTTCCAGGCCCAGACTGGACCGACGTCCACGGCGACCTGGCCACGGTGACCACGGCTGCGGGCTTGGAGGCAGCTTGCGGCAGGGCCCTGGACACGCGCGAGGACGAGCTGCTGCGGCACTTCGACCTGGAGGGCACCCGCGAGGCCAGCAGGTTCTGCGGCAGGAGTGAGGGCCCGCGCCTGGTCCAGACCCAGCTGGACCGCCATCGCTCCAGCGGCTGGCAGCCGACGGCTAAGCCAGCCCCCTCGGGTGCCCATTTGGGCTGGCTGGGCGATCGGGCGCAGGAATGGCGGCTGCTGCAGGCGGCGGGGCAGGCCGCCCATGCGCGGCGCCTGCAGGTGAAGCTCCTGCGCTTCAAGCCGCCCGTCCCTGGCGGCGAGCCTGCGGCGTGGCTCACCTGGCGGCGGCCGGCGAGGCGCCTGCACCGCCTCCCTGATGATGAAGGTAACGAGCTGCTGGCCTTGTTTCGACGCCGGGCCTTGGCGGCGGCAGGGCGTGCGCCGCACAGTCGCTACACGTCCTGGCTCGACTGGGCGCGCGACGCCACAGCCGCCGATGACTTGCGCAAGGCGTTCCGCTGGATCCGCGAGCCTGCCCCATGGGCAGCTGCCCGCTGGTCGCCTGCCGTGGGCCTGCAGATCGCGCAGGAGGCGGCCAACGCGGCCATCCGCCCATGACATGATCTGTGGGGCGAGGTCGCTGGGCTGGACGCGGTCAGCTGGCCAGCGGAGCTGGGCGACCGCCCTCCGCTGCCGACGCCCGACGAGCTGCGCAAGGGGGGCCACTCCTCCCCGCACGTCACGGGGTTAGGAGGCGACGCCTTCCACCTTCGGCACGTCACCTTCCTGTCTGACGGCGCGCTGGAGGCCTTCACCACCGTCTGGAGGCACATGCTGGTCCTCGGCTACGTGCCCAAGGCGCTGGCGGTGCTGCAGATAGCGCCCATCCCGAAGGCCGAGACGGGCGTCCGCACCATCGGGCTTTTTGCTGGAGTGCTGCGCCCTCTTATGCGCTGGACGCGCAGTGCGGTCGGCGCTCGCTGGGCCAGCGCCCACCAGTGAGACTACATCTACGGCACGTCTGGGCGCAGCTGCGAGACGCGTGCGTGGATCCAGGCGGCCAATGCTGAAATCGCGACTCACCGCAAGCAGGCGGCCTGCTCCGTGCTCATGGACCTCTCCAAGGCTTACGAGCACATCCCGCGGGCTTTGCTGGTCTTTCGAGCCCGCGCCTTGGGCTTCGACATGATGCTGATGCGGCTGCCCATCAGGCTCTACTCCCTGCTGACGCTCGTCACCGTCGACGGCGCGGCGATGGGCTGGTGCGTCCCGCGGGGGGGCGTGGTGGCAGGCTGCAGCACCGCGGACCTCTGCATGCGCATCTTCCTCGTGCCGCGGCTCGACGAGATCGCGGCCCTCGGCACCGTGGACCTGGGGAGCACCGTGGACAACATACAGCTCGGCAAGGTCGGGCTTCCCAGGCTGGCGGCGGCGAACGTCAGCGGGCCTACAAACGGATTCGAGGCGCCCGGACGGCAGACGGGCTAGTCTTGGCATCGCCCAGACGTGTGCTTTTTTTCTTTGCGAAAACCATCGAGGACCATCCTGAACCATCGAGCAAGAAAAACACGCACGAAACCGAAACATGCACGGGAAATGGACGTCCGAGCGACGGCAAGTCGTCGTCAACGATGGCAAGGGAGTGTTGCTGGCCAGCACGTCTGCCTGCGGCCGCGAGGTCATGCGGCGCTGCCGCCCCCTTCGAGACAAGATCAGGAGCTCGGCGCGCAACCTGGGCGTGGATTTCGCCAGCTGGCGCCGGGCTGGAGTGAGCACGCGGGCCAAGCGCACTGCTACTGCACTGCGCCGTGCTGCACGCATTCGCGTGCTCCGCGTGGCCCGTGGCAAGACGCGCCAGCTGGTCAGCCTGGGTCCGACCCCAGCCGGCACCTGGGGAGCGGGGGTGACTGGGAGGGCTTGGAGCGGGATCGAACCGATGAGACCAGCGGCGCACTCTGCCTTGTATGTGCACACAACTCGTCGCCCCCTCGATGTCGACCTCCACCTCTCCCCTGCCTCTCCGTGGATGGTGGACCCCGCCTACGCTTGCACTGCGGGGCCCATCCATATGCTGGCCCAGGCGATTTGGTCCTCGTGGATCCCGCGGGAATCGATTGCTCGGGTGATGTTTGCATATGAGGCCGCTTTCTTGGCCGACCCCCCCCAAAGCGACTGGCCCCCGGTCAAAGGTCCGACCTCGGCTGCCGTCGCCAGCTGCTGTCGAATAGGATGGGAGCTCGGGCCAGGAGCGTGCATGCT